CTGATCTGGAACTGTATGACAAAAACTATAACACTTCACCAAGTGAAATAAAAAAATACATGAGGGAATAAAGGGACATAGCATAGTCTTAGCACATTGCAAATATGGTGACAATGTTAATTTTACCTAACCTATAAATGAAATGCAAGTCGAACCAGAATCTCTATAGATTTTTTTGGGTGGGTGGAGATATATAAAAATGATTCTAATGTTTTTATGGAAGAATGGACATTCCAGAACTACCTAAGGCAATCTGAAAGAGAGTAATTAAGAGATAGTAGCCTTACTCCATATCAAAAAGAATTATAGGTTAGTACTTACTTAGACTATGGTGCCACTAGTTCACAAAAAATGATCAGAATAGAAAATAGAGCAGTAGACTCAAACCTGTATAAATATGTATTCTTAAAGTTTATTTTTTTCTCCCATGAGCAAGAAAGACAGAAAAGAAAGAGACAGACAGCATCCTTAGCAGGGTCTTGGTGCCATATCAACCCACTGCCTTTAGCCAACCCCAGATCATGGACGAGTGCTTGCCCAGAGTATTCAGCGAGGTCACAGGACTTTCACAGAAACTTTCCCATGTGGGATTGCCTCATGGCGCAGCACATTTTAGTGCTGCACCACCTGACCGCTGTGTAAATATTTAGTATTTGACAAAGGCAGCATTTCATATCAGTGGGAAAGGATGAATTACTTAATACTAGCAATGGATTACTATTGGTCATTTGGATATATTAGGCTCTTTCACCAATTGACTCTTACTTAAAGATTTTTCTATAAACATCAAATATGCAAATAGAAAAAAGAAAAACATACTACAGAAAGATGAGTGGGCACCTTTATATTCTAAACATACAGAAAGGTTTTCTATGCATGATGCGATATATAGAAACCATAAAAGTAAAAATGTTTAAATTCACATAAAAATCCAAAATTTTTGTAGTGAAGAAAACAAAAAAATGCAAATAGTAAAAATTGGTAAGAAAATGTATTCACTATGTTTAGAATCAACCCATTTAGATAATATTGAGATCATCTTGTATATCTCTATGTATTTTATAAGGAGGACTATTAGAATTCTTCAGCAGGTGATGTTGCCTTCTATTTTGCCAAGAAAAAAGAAGCCATCAGATGGAAACTTCCTTGACTTGGTAATAATAAAAGTTGAAAAATACCTATATTTATACCCATACTCCCATGTTTCTCTCTGGTTACGCTTAAGAATTAATACCTCCGACCAAAACTCAGTCCATCCAACAGATGTACCTTGGATCCCACCTCTTTTCTGCATCTTCACTTCTGATCATTTTTTTTCCCCTCTCTCTTGCACTATCAAGCTTACCATTATCCAGTGAATTCATTTCATCATCATTAAAATATGCTCAAATTGGGGCCAGTAGGTGGCATGGTGGTTAAGGTGCTGGACTCCCACATGGTCAACCATGGTTCAAGTCCCAGACCTGGCAGCTTGCTTTCTCACTTCCCCACTCCTCTTTCTCTGTTTCTCTCTACTGAGCACACGTGCCCTATAGCAAATTAAAAATAATAATAATGAAAATGCTCAAGTCACCACTGTCAAAGTAAAAATGCCACAGCAATAAAACACCATCTCTCACTCAGTATTTCCCAATACTATCACCTTTTTCTCCTCTTCATGATTTTTTAAAAGACTCTGTGCTCCTCACTTCCCACTGACTCTCTTAGTCAATCCTATTTGGCTTCCACCCTCACTGTTCTACTGAAATTGCACCTCCTGATCTATAAAAGTACTTTGTGTAGAAAGGAAATTAGTTCTTTGTCTATGATACAAATTTCAAAAATTTCTTCCTCAGTCTGTCATTTTTCTCTTGATTTTCCTAGTGGTGATACTTGATTTGTGGATTAAAAAAAATTTGCGCCCGCCTCAGCTTTACCAATTCTATCTGAATGGCTGCTGGAGTTTTGGTGTACTCAGAAAGTCCACTTCTTTCTTGAGACTAAACTAAACTGTGGTTTAGTAATCATTCTTACCTGTACAATTTTATATTGCGAACATTTTATATGCTATACTTATAATTTTCTTTCTTTTTAAAATGAGGATAAGGAGGAGTTTGGGAAAATGGTGAATGAGTATGGTTTAACCATTAAGTTGTACAGAATTCCTATAGGTTAAGTTAGGCATCTACCATTTTCATTATTTTGATTGTGAAGATTTATCTCAGAAGATGTAAAAAGATTGTGCAAATGCTTGGATAAATAAAAGAAAGCATTGAAACAGATGTCAAAAGGTCAGAAAATAGTGTAAAAGTTCATGGAGCTCTGTAGTAGTAGTATACTTTGTACTGGATATAACTGAGTGGTAGTCCAAGATTACTCATCTAGAGAAAGATGGAAATCCAGGACATACTGCTCAGTATCAGTGAGAAAAAAAAAAAAAACCTTATCAAATAAGGCCCCCATGTGGCAGTTTAATGACATGCGATCCATGCCAAAAAAAAAGTTTGTTTTATGCCAAAAATCTTATAAAGCAAGTAAATATGTTAACTGAGTCTCCCTGAAACTAATGTATGAAAAATGTTATTACATAATCATTTAATATGGAGTTTTACTATGTTTCTAGTCTAAATATATATGTACAGTACAGATTACATCAAAACGTACTACAGGTTAGAAAGCTGACTTTGAGAATAACAACATCTCACTTTTCTCCGTCTGACATGACTTTGGCCTTCTTGCTAAATACTTCAGAGGTGTCTGTGTTTTCTCCTTCTCTCAGGCTAGACCAAGCATGAGTGTCTAGGAATTTTTTCAATAACTATGACATTTTCTCTTCTTCTTATGCACTTTTAATTTGTGGTTAAACAATAACAACTGTAGTCACTTGGGTACTATTTGTCCTTGCCTGTGCATTTTGCTCAAACTGCCTGCATAGTTAGTACTCTATTTCCTGATAGCTTCTTCAGAATCCATGCTGCTGGACTAGTAAGAAACAAGTAGTTGTGTTTTAGCTCCTGGGAGGGGAAGCCTCCTAACAAGTGTCTATGACACAGCAGAGCAGACAGGAAATGTTTGGGAATACTGTCCTGTTTTAATTAATGTGAAAGATAAAGTTTAAAGTCTGTCTTCAAAAAACATCCATTTTGGGGGACCAGCAAACCAAGTAATGGTTACATTGCTGGATTCCCACATAGCTGACTATGATTTGGTCCAGGAGCCAGAGGCTTGAAACTCACATCTGGTGTCTGGCGTGCACGCCCAAAATCCTGAGAGGAGAATGATGGAGAAGGGATTGTGACCTGGCCACCTCCTCTCCCCGCCACTCCATGATTTCTCACACATGCCCTACAGCAAAAATCTAAAAAAAAAAAAAAAATTATAGATTTCATGTGCAAATATTTATTGTAATGAATTTATTGTAATAATGTTAAAATGTATCTCACTTCATAGATTTTTATTCTACTACAATTAGATTTAGTAACTAAAAGGGATTCATCTTTTTTCACCTGATTTTTTTATTTTAATAAAGACTTTAAAATTTTAAAAGCCCTCAGAAATTAGAAACCTACAGCTTAGTATACAAAACTGTGTTTTAAAGGCATTTGACATGGGGTAGCAGTACTTCCTATATTACTATGTATAATATGTAAGCACAGAGATACCTATACCAAACTATATATTCTATAACATTCGTGAACAGAAACTTCAAAACTAAAAGTGGAAGGTAAAAGCAATGCCAAATGTTGACTTCAAATTAAATTCAATGAACATTTATTAAGAACCTGTTCTTTTTTTTTTGGAGAGGTTTTTGCTGGCCAGAAAGACAGAGAGAGACAGAGAGACAGGAAGCAAGAAATCACCCCTCAAGGGGGATGGCCACACCGCAATCCCTTCTCCTCCATTCTCCTCTCAGGATCTTGGGCACACACGCACACGTGCCCAGCTTGAGTTTAAGCCGCCAGGTCCGGGACTCAAACTACAGTCAACTACGTGGGAGCCCAGCGACATAGCCATTATGCTAACTGCTGGTCCCGGAGAACTTGTTCTATATACAGCACTATGCTAGGTCCCAGAGAGAGAGCAGTCATTAGGAATTACACTCAAAAATTTAGATAGATTGGTGCAAAGGTAGATGAAAGCAGGTTTAAGGGACTGCCAAACAACATGGGATGAAGCCTGGACTCGCCACAGGCCAGGCCAGAGAGGTAGTGAAGAAGCTCTGTAAAATGGGCTTTTGTGAACACATGAATGTGGGGCTCCAGGTCTGTGTGAGTGTGGGGCTTCAGGCCTCTAAGGAAGCAGCCCTGCTGGCCCAAAGCCAAACCGCCCCTGGAGTCATTGATCCCTAGATCAATTCCGGGGTCACTGCCCAGGGCGTGAGGAAGACTGTACACTCGCTGATTTTTACAAGGGCGTTCAGTTCGGGCTACAGGCTGTATTGGAGGCTGGGGCCGAAGAGACGTGGTTAGAAGGGCCATGAAACTCCACCACCAGACTTCCCAAGAAGGATTTTCTATGGGCAGGTTCTCTCCTTGGGCCATTGCATCGTCGTTTAACAGACTAGGGAAGGTGTCAAGACAAAAGAAATCCCCTTTCTTTCTCGGTAGTCAGGCCCAGGATCAGGGGCCAGAGCTGGAGCTGGCGCTTTCTGCGTTCTGGGCATGGAAGGTAGAAAAACCACAGGATTAAGGATCCGATGTTAAAGCTTGGCAACTGGTAAGGGTCGGGAACTGACTCCGGGCACTCTGGGGCCCAGCATCCCACAATCCCAGCGCAAACGGCCGAGCTGCACCGGGTAAGAAGGCTGGCTGCTGCAGCGACCGCGGCGGCGGCGAGCGCGAGCCCGGCGCCTTGACAGTTGCCCACGCGTCGGGGCGGTGCTCGAGCACGTTGCTTTAAAGGTCCGCGATGCTGCCCCGCCCCTTGCGCGCCTCGATTGGCTGTAGCTGGTGCAGCTTTGATCTGATAGGCGCAGAGAGGGCGGAGCCGTGCGCGAGGCCTGGGGCCTCACCGCACCAGCCCCGGCTAAGGCGCGAGTGGCGGCGGAGTTTGGTTGATTGGGTGTGCGGGGCCGGCGGGCTCGTGCTCGCCAGCTGGCTGCCGAGGTCCCTGGGGAAGAAAGGGAGCTCCTGACGCCTGCCCGCACGCTCCGCCCGGCTGCCGGTGGCGCGCGCGAGGGCGGAGGTGGTTCGTGCGTGTGTGCGCGCGTGTGTGTGGACCTCCGGTGCTGAGCGCGAGCTGTCAGTCGTCCCCGGGTGCGAGTGCCCCGCTGTCTTCCACACCCTCCCTCCCTACGTGCTTGCGGCGCCCTCACGGTCGCTCACCGAGCGAGAGTCCCAGAAAGCAAGTGTAGGGGGCGTGCGGGGTCGCAGGAAACAAAGGGGTCGGGGGTCAGCCCGCAATGGCCTCCCGGAGCCTGGGGGGCCTGAGCGGGAGCCGCGGCGGTGGTAGCGGCTGCAAGAAAAGCTTGAGCGCCCGCAATGCTGCGGTGGAGAGGAGGAACCTGATCACCGTGTGCAGGTACGGCGGGCCCGGGGGGGCCGGG